AAAAATGCTCTGATCATAAGCTTCGATGCCCAGTGTATGTTATTGGAAGCAAATTGGATCTATAGTTATTAGTTAGTACTTTTAGGAGGTCGAAATTGAAAATTCTTAGTGCTTTTAAAAATAATTGGAGAGAAAATAATGAAAATTTATTTAAATTGTTTGGTAACAAGCTTGGTCATACCGTCTTAACTTGGATTGTATTTGATTAATTAAAATTTTTTTTTCTATAAATGTCAATAAAAAATATCAAAAAAATAAATGTCAAAAAGCTTAAAAATGTAATACGTAAGTTTTTTTATTATAGCTAAAATATTAACAATACATAGGCATCATGGTTATTTTTTATAAGCATTTAAAGTTTAAATTTCGTCAAAACCACGGTTAATTTGTAGTTCAAAACTTATAAAATATAAAATATGTATATCTAAGGCTAGACAATTTAATACAAGGTCTTTCATACAAGTAGTTCATACTTTTACCGAAAAATTACAGATAATTTATGAAAATTGGTATGCAAATTCAATGTTTTTTCAAAAATGAATTCGTTCTGGTAAGACAATAAGACATATATGAGATTTACTATAGTTGACAGTTTAAACTTAATTAATATTTTTTTGAAAAAGTAATAATAATACGGGAAATTGGGGGGGGGGGGGGGGGCTTCAGACCGTTAGCCTCCCCCCTGTGGACGCCACTGTAATATACCTCAGGTATACTTCAAAACGTCTTAACTATTATGGACACAAGTCAATTTTATAGCACAGGAATTGATGAATGCATGTTAAGATCATCGGTGTAACTATGGGAGGGGGGCTTAGGGGGTCTTAGCCCCCCCACCCACGAACTTCTATTTAGCCCTCCTATGAGGTTTTATTTTTTAGCCCCTAATTATTCTGATTTATTCTCATTTAAAATGTCTGTAAAATAACTATGTTCATATATTTTTTAGATTTTTTGGTTACAGTATGAATTATTTATGAGAACCTTTGTTGTAAATTTGCAATCCTTAGCTATAAAAACTGAACATTTTATAATTTATTAATTACAATGATTGATAATTTTCGATTAATTTGTAAAATTTTGTCAAAATTCGATCTTTAAATGCTTATAAAAAAAAATTGTGAAAATGTATTTTTAATATTTTTCAATTGCTATTGTAACAATATATCAGGAGCCTTGTATTAAATTTTTACACTTTTTGGCAAAACAGATAAAACTTTATTGATATTTATAGAAAAAAAAAATAAAAAAAAATTGAAAGCTGTAAATGTCCGTAAACAGCTCAAAAAGAGTCAAAATATTTTCAAAATTGCGGTGTATAGGAAATGCTAATATAAACATTCAGTGAATGTTTCATGTATCTACAGTTATTCGTTTTTTAATTACAACCAAATAGGGAAATCGCTACATGAGAAATACAGTGAATACCCAATGTTATTAAAATTTGAATATGAAACAGTCGTAAAAATTTAATTTGACTTTCTTATAGACATTTTTTTGTTTGATAAAGGTAGATAATCTTATAAGGAATCTTGTATTACATTTTCAAATCTTAGATTTAAAAAGAAAAATTTTTACGAATTCTTAACTCAAAATAATTTGCTAATTTTCGTGATTTTTCCATATTTTGTCAATTTTTGAACTTTAAATGCTTATAAAAAAAATTGTAACTAAGGATTTTTAATATATTTCATCTGCCTTTGAAACAATATACTATGAGCTTTCTATTAAATTTTATATGAATTTTCTATTCTATTTTCAAGCTTTTTTAACTAACAAATAAATATTTATTGATATTTTTAGATAAAAACTAAAAACAAATGGAAACTGAAAATCTCTGTAAAGAGCTCAAAATAAGTCAAAATATTTGGAAAGTGTTATGGTGTATAGAATATGCAAATATAAACATTCAGTCAAAATTTCATGTATACCTACGGTCATTTGATTAAGAGTTGCGCCAAAAACCAAAATCGATTTTTTCGAAAATAGATTTTGTGTAAAAATTCCCATTTTTCCTTAATTTTTTTTTTTTTTCACGGCATGTTCGAAAACTACTGGAAAAATTTTACCTTTTTTCCCCCAAAGTACCAATTAGATTCACTTTCCTATCTGAAAAGATACTGTTGAAGAAAATCCAAGCACTTTTACTGTCCTAAAACCCGGGTTTCTTTTCTGAGTTAAGCCCACTTGATATTTTAAAAAACCCATAAAAAACCTGGGCTGCTTTTTTGGGTTAAACCCACTTATTATTTTGAAAAAAAAACCATAAGACTCGGGCTGCTTTTCTGGATAAAATAGAAATTCAATATTATTTTTTTTAATTTGTTTTTATTTTCAGAAAAATTTACCTTACTTATAGGTATTATTTATTTTCCCAATTAAGTATTAAACTACGGCTTGCTACCATTGGGTGACTTCGGCCTCCCGTCAATTAAACTACATCCCATTTACTTTTTGTATAACTTGTAAATACAGATTGTCAATATATATTTTTGCTCAATAAAAAAAAAAAGATTGAACTGATTTGTAAAACATTTAATAATTATTGTTTTAATTAGGTACCTAGGTTCAATTTAAAATAAAAAATTGAAAAAATACACACCAACCGTCAATAGAAATATTAACTATATTTTATTTTTAATAAGGTATTAAATACGTAACTATATCCTGCTTAATGAATAATCTAAATTAACAATTAACAAAATAACAAATACTTGGTAATAAAATAAAGAAAGAGAAAAATAAAAAAACAGTGCAGCTAATACATGGGAAAAAATTCCGATTTTTAGGATGGGTTTTTTCAGAAAAACCCGACAAAACAGCCAATCATTAATTTTCTAATAAAACCCTCCGGGTTTTTTGGGATGTTATTTGAAAAAACCCAACTGGGTTGGGTTTTTTCTATAAAGCCCGGGTTTTTTGCCAACCCTATGACAGACACAAAAAAAAAAAAAAACAAAACACATATTATTGTAAAATCAATATATTCATCGTTCCACTCAGAATCTAAAGTATAATATTCTAGGTTAGAATATATTTTACATTAAAAAAAAAACTATCCAACTCTCACAACCATATTATTGCTATAGACAGTCACACATTCCGATTAACGATTTGTCGATTTATAATGAAAGCCATTAGCTCTCGACGAAAAGTATTTAGCTTTAACTATTGGGTGTGTCGTGTGTATGATCAAAATTCTTTTTGGCCATTAATCGCTGGTTAATCAGATACTCTTTACTACTTTTACTTCTAATAAATAATTAATTAAAACAGAAACATTATAATAATATTCTGGTATCCTGCATTTCTGCTGGTATTTCAGACTTTATCGTACACATTATTTTCCCACTCCTTTAAAATTTTCCCTATAGCTTCTGAAGACATTCTTACATATCTACTGAAAAAAATTGATATGATACTAGAAATTCACTATAGTGATTGAATGGTGTATAATGGATAAATCAAAACTCGAGAGGAAGTATAAATATTTTGTTTATTAGTGTATATTAATTAGACCAGCCTTCTAATTGATACCAAGATTTAGTTTATATTGTATACCAAAATATATAACTAAACTAAACTTTTTTTTAAATAAATAAATTCAATAAATATGATAGTTTTGTGTACTTATGTGTAATTATTGTTACGTAGGTGCATATTAAATGTATTGACTTGCAAACCTAAATAATTTTATTTTCAAATAAAACAGCAGTTAGATTTGTATTTTATGTAGTACAATGTTTAAATGTTTGCTTATTGATGGGCTTTTGTAACTGATTGTAAAAACTCTAATACTCTCTTTTTCCTCATCTCTGTTTTCATAGAAAATTTTTTTTTTTTTTTTTGTTGTTTGCGTACTTGATGTTCTTCGAGAACTTGTCCTGGTATTTCTATTAATAGAGAAATTTCTTATGCCATTATTTTAAGTTTAGAAAACCCATTTTTATGGAAATCTTTTAAAAATTCTACCTACCTACATAACTACCAATAATATCTTTATAACATTTCTAGAAATAAATTACTTAAATCTTAATTCAATTAGATAAGGTAATTCATCTTTCGAATTATTGATTGTCAACCAATGATTTGTTGGATTTTGTTTAATTTATTAATTGTGAATACAACGAATTTTCTATCATAAAAAATGCTGCCCCAGTTTCATTAAATATATTTCCACTCTTAAGCAATGGCCTAACCTTCTTGTGCCCTAGCGATGGTCCTGCAATATTGCTTTATCCTAGCGAATATCGCTCAGTGATAGATCTACCGAGCCTCTGTGATACCAAAACTCAGTCATAGATCTATTGACTAGTGTCATATTTGATTCCGTTTTCATTATTATTTATTGTACATTATGCAACAATATCAAATATTTAGTTAATTTGTATAAAATTTGATAATTTGTATTCAAAATAAAATGTGGAAAAATATTTAACAAAAAATTAATATGTCTCGAAAAATACCCATACCTACATCCAAATATATGCAACATAAAACTACGTATTTGCCTTTTTCATAACATGAAACAAATTTGTTTCTAGTTGGTCATTTTTTACAATTGCGTAAAACAATTAATAAGCTAATGCGTGAAGTCCTCTGCCCTAATTATTATTATTTTTATGAAATATTTTCACTTAACACTTGGGTAAATATCTTCACATATAATATATAAACTATAATTTATATGCAGTGGTGTATCGCCGTATCGGTTATTACTTTATTAGACAATAAAATTAGACAATACAATTTCCGTCAGATTGATTAAACTATTTAAACAGTTTTATTTTACATTCAAAGTGACAAAGTGGTATGGAAATTCAATCAACTTATTCTATTTGACTGACATAACTCACTTGACGTGTCATGTGAATTAATTCTTTTATGAATGAACATTTTTTCTTTAATTTATATTGTATGGACAAAAACAAAAAAAAATACAAAATACAAAAAAATTACAAAATGACAAAGAATACATTGGTTCGTGTTTGTTAAGTTAATCACTGGTCTTTTATAAAATTATCTTCATATGCCTTTCTAAGTTGCTCCATGAAAATAAATAACAAGACAGTCCCTGGTGCCACTCGTAAATAATAAAAAGGCCAGCCTTTCCACAAAGCCATAACTCCCTCGGATTTCACCAAAGTCGTCGCCACTTCTATTATGCCCGAGTATTCTGCTTTTCCATCTACGATTTTCTGTTGTTGTATTCTACGAATGTGATGTAATGCCATATTATAGTAATATATAGATATATTATTATATACACTATACAGTTATAACTTTATAAGCCATGGTAGATTTAAGGGGGGCCAGAAGAGACTAGGCACAGCTACGTTAGCTGTGCTGTATATGTTAAATATAATTGTGAGTAATAATAATAATTATTTAATAATTTATACTAATACTTTTAAACTTTTATGCTTATTAGTACGTAATAGTATATTGTGTGGCAAGGGCGGAAAGTGAATTATTTCAGTCGCGAACGTCGTGTGCGGCACGTGCCTCAGACGAGGTTCGCATTTCGCCCAAGACTGAAATTGCTTTCCCGCCACATATAGGTACTGTTTTTTTTTACGCCTATGCTTTTATCGATTACGGCAAAGATGATGCAGATCCCTATGCGACAACCAGACTATTCTGCGAAAACAATATATCATGAAAGAAACGATTTTTTTTAAATTTATTTTAAGCGTCGTCCATGGTTATAGGTAATATGAATATAAGGTGTAACCAAAAGTTTATGTTTTGTAAGAACCGTGGTACAGAATTCAGTGTCTGGTTGTGCAGGGGATACGCGTGATATTTGGGGATTTCCATTTTACCACCCTGCACTTTTGGGATTCCCACTTTACCGCCCACTGGACGGAAAAATTTCGCTTTCCAACGCTTCAACCGCTATCAAAAACCAAACTTTCGGTGCAGGCTTGACAACAAATTATTTTACATTATAATTAATAATATAAAATTCCTTTATACTAATAAGTACCAAATAATACTGATGAAAGATGTGTTTTTTATATATTTAATAATGATTCGAAAAAATATTGTCCCCCCCCTTCCAAAAAAAGAAAAAAACAATAACAAAATTCTACATTCCCCCCCCCCCATTGGTTGTAAAATATGGTTTTAACATATTAGTATATTACCTAGTTTTTAACACGTCCATTGGATTCGAGCTCACGGAATATACAATTCCAGAAATCATGCTTGACACGGTGTGGAGCTTCAAACCGTTCTCCATATTATCTAAAACCATTTTCGAAGTATACATATTATAATATTTTAGTATTAACAGTGCCATAAAAGCCAAATCATCACGTCATGTGTAAAATATTTTCCGTATGAATTATTCGATGTGGGCTTTTTGGCCTAATATGTAATATTATATAGGCAAACCGATAAGTGGGTAACTAGCGATCTTACAATTGTCCATCATATACACTTTAGCCTCGTCATACGACATCAGCTGCGTTAAATTGGCTGTCATCGCTCTGAGAACGGTCGCTACCGTCCCTCGCCACAGCCCAGTTATGCCTTCGTCCTTTCGTATTTTTATCAGTGCGTCGAACACGCCTTTGTAGTTACGACGGCTCTCCGGTGGCAATCGTCCGTCGGCTGTCATGCGGACCACAGCAATCTGCGGTCATTTCAAACTGTTTTAAAATGATTAACGACTCCAGGACTCCCGGAGACAATTATTAATAATAACTGTAGGTGCAAAATACTTTTGGTTTCAATATAAGCCCCACGCTCCCTCAACACCACATGTATATGAAATATTTACACTTATCAGTTATCAATATCATTATAATAAAATAAGGTATGACTAAAACATAACTTATTTTGGTTAATCAAACTAATACCACCGGGGCATAAATCCTCCTCCGGGCGTCACTGTAACGATTAACTTCATACATTATATCCCACAAAAAGGCTCTCAATATTATCGATGATTATAGATCACCGAATAACAATATTCACCATGACATGAACACAACATGGTATGATCGCAAAGGTCTAGATTACGTTCAATTCTGCGCACGTCGCTCACTTGTCTTAGCCATATGATCATAATATAGTTGTCATTAAACTATTATTACTATTACACGCTACTCTAGGTCACTCATTCAAGTGCCTAACGAAAGTTTTGACCGTATATAAGTTCCGATCATACCTTGTTTATATAGTGATATTCGTTTTGGATAATTAATAATTACGTCGGTCGGTGTGGAAATGAACGCTGCGAATGCTCCGGTGGTCATGCTGGCTATTGCGTTATTAAGCACGGTGCCCTGTCCTCGTCTGAAACACACACATAGGTAACATGTTATTGATGAAATACTTATTATAATATTATGTATCAGTATCATTCGATTTCTATTGTCACTGATACATGACAAGATTATCAATTGTCATACTGCCATACTGATGTTGTAGTGATGTGGTATAGGTTAAATTACAAAATTTGCAGAATACATGATTATTTGAACGACTGACATATTTTAAGACTTAGCCAGTGTACATACCATAATAATATGTCCATGTAATATAATATGATATACATATTATTATAATATACCAGCTATTACGTCAAAAACTAAATTAAAAGTAATTACCTACATTTAAAACAAATTATTCAACACGCAAATCTCAATAACGTCGCCGTACCTATAGCTAAATAGATGCAATTCCGTCAAATGTCACATTGTCACGTACACACGTTCACACGAGATTATTACTATTATTCGTGAGACTTTTAAGCTGTTTTTTTGTTTATACTTAAACGGGTAATTTATATTATAATATAACTAAATGTCATAATATGTATAAATATAGGTATTACGCATGTCGTGTGTAAATGTATTTAATTTTCGAGCACCCACAATTCTATTTAAATTCCAAACGATATATTATATTTGTACTATTCAAAATGTGCGTACGGGACGCATTCGTAAATGTACACGTAAACTTTACTGCATGTATATTATACCAACTATTCCGCCTAGCACTGTCCATGCCAAAATTTGTTGTTTTTTTTTATAAAAAAAAATGTATAAATTGCTATATTCCTGCTAATTAACATAGTAATATAATATATTATAACCAATGTCAACTATTTAAATAACGAAAAATATTCCTTTTTCATGAGCTGAAAAAAATGCACATATTATGAGCTACCCCTTAGGTACTTATATGGGTTGAAAAATAAGTTATAATTACCCTGGTCTGGTATAGTGTTTGAGTTTATATTAATTACAGGCAGACAGACCAAGATCCATTTGTTTTATAAATATATATGTATTATTATAAATCGATTTATTCAATCGATATTAGCTCACTTTTTCAATTCATCTACAAGCGATGTGTAGCAGCCCACCCGAGTTGACGTAAATATTATTTGCCTCATAAAGTTTGCGGTAATGCCTTTATAAAAACCCGAAATGTTTTCATTTTTTGCCATGTTTATTATTGCATGAATTGAGCTTTTGTGATCTGAAGCCGTGCCCTTCTCGCCACTTAGTTGCATACGAAATTTCAACACTTCCAATGGATGTACGAACACCGCGGATCCCATCCTAATGCAAATCACGGTTATACAATTATTTTAAATCAATAACAGCCAACATAGTATGACATAAATTAGTTGAAATATTATTGTTTTTAAATTTTATTTTTACCCCGACAATCCAGCAATTGAAAAGTTCACGTAAAATGGCAGAACTTTTTTCTTCTGTTCGTTCGACATCTTGATTGAGTACGGGATTAATAGTTATTCGTTCACGATAGCTAATTTTCGCAAATATATTTTATGCGTACACGGTCGAATACAAAACAATTTGTTTTTATGCTTAACAACAGATAAACAGTTAAGGAACACCGTTCGTATAATATTAATATTATTTAAGCTAGTAGGTATCGACAATTTTTCGAAACGCTTAAAGTTTTGTTTTGAGACAAAAATTCAATAACCGCGTATATCGTACTTTGTGGAGTACCCTATAATATAATTAGATACTACCAACTATAGGTACATCGGATATCGGGATATGTATACATAATGCGGCCATCAATAAAATTTAACACTATTTCCAATATTATGTGGATATATTAATGTGTACTTTAATTTTTATCAAACTTTGTTTGAACTAAATTTTATAAAAAGACATAATACGGTCAAATTTCAATCGTAAATAATAACGATGAACTCACGTTTGGGTTTAAACATAACATAATAACCTTCAAATGCCAATTTATACATTAGGTATTCAAATTGTTGGTACAATAGTTTAATCTTTAGTATTATACATTTCTTTATTTTCTTATGTAAATATTATAGATATTATAAATATTATAATAGTATATTGTATACTGTGTATTCACATGTTAATATAGTGTACTAACTATATATATGTATACATTGTACCTATACACAATACACAGTAAGCACGTGCAAGGGCTTTAGCAGAAAATATTCAAACTAATAGAAAACAACTAAAATAATTTGGTGTTCACTTGGCTCGTTTATTAAGCTTTAAGCACTTACTATACAGTGTGTTTCACTAAGCATGTTCACCCCCATTTTTATTTTAACAATGAATGTATTCAAATTCTGATTTTTAATATACTTAAAGAGTAAAGACCATATTTTTAAATTCTTGAGATTTTTAGTACTATTAAAGGAGTGTCCTGTGGAGATACAGACTTCTGTTTTTCAAATGACAGCCTCCCTTTTTGCTGTAAATTATTTAGTGGACAATTGTTGAAAACGTTGATGTAGGTAACTAATTCAAAATTTGAACAAGTAGTTATTTGTTATTAAAATGTTTATTCTAGTGAGAATAGATCTTAAAATGGTTTTGCAAAAGTATAAAATAGAAGAGATGTAATATCGGATCTAGTATTTTATTTATTACTTTTCAAATCACCATAGTCCTATATCTCCCAAAACAATTTTTGTGGAGATGGAACTATTATATTCATAGTACCTACACTAATTTATATAATTCAAGAACTAAGTTCAAATTTTGATTTTGATACTAAAAATGTTATCAGGTAAATAATTTAAAGTAGAAGTGGGTGGGTGGGGAGTCTGTCAACAAAAGTTTGTATTCCCGAAGTCCGCCAAAAATCGTAAGAATTTGAAAATAGGTCTTTAAGTACATTTAAAAATTCCAAAAATCAAATTTTGAATTATTTTATTGTAATGAAAAAGAAAATAGGGATGAGCAATGTTGGTGAATCCATGGGCGTGCTCATGGGGGAGGGGGTTCATGGTGTTTAACCAGCAAATTGGCAGTATATTTACGCTCCCTTTTTTTGTGCTCTGATAGCCCCCTTACATATATGTTCCTAGAAATTATCAACCACCCACCCCACTGAAAATTCCTGAGAACGCAACTTCAGGGTGAATCATCCTGTATACATCGGTAGTCGTCACACTGTCCAAAGAAGTCGCTATCAGTTATCCACGTCTGTAATCTTGCCTAAATTTAACAATTTAACATATGGGTAATTACTTAACCGTGGTGCTACCACTGGGTGACTTACTGACTTCCCCCTCACATCAATAAAATCTCATCAAATTTACTTATTGTATAACATGTAAATACAGATTGTAAATTTATACATTTTTGTTCAATAAAAAAAAGGTACCTAATTACTTTTATAATACCTAAATTAAAAATATTCATTTATTTATTTGGATGAGTTATAAATTGTAACATTATATTATTATATTATTATTATTTATTATTATAGGTATGACCATGGGCTACGATTTTAATGTAGACATACATATTTTTTTTACTGTGACTTGATAAATTAATCTGAGCAAGTGATAATTTTGTTTCGAAGGATTGGTAATAAAATGAGAAATACTTAATTTTATATATTTCGTAATAAATTCATATTTCACAATAATTCTATGTTTTCAACATAATTAGACAATTTTGATCATGTACTACATGTGGTACCTATGTAAATGTCAACATACGACGAACTTCAATGCGTGTTTCATGATTTAGTATAGAATACCTAGGAACTATAAGCTACATTGAATAGTTTAGAAATTTTTTTTTTTTAAATCCTGTCTGATATTACAAACTTAGCTGTTTGCAGTTTGCTAATTAGTTTTAAATGGCCGAAGGTTATTTCAAATATTTACTATACTAGATCAAAGATATTGAATTATGCATAATATGTGAAATACATGATTACGTTTTGATGTCGAGGGTGATTCTAACGTTTGGATATATTTTCTTACAAGGAAATACATGGATACTGTATTGTACAATATTATTCTTCACATGAAGTAAGTAATAATGTAACACATATATACGTTATATTATAATTACTACGCGAGCTGCACAACGTAATTTTACAGTGTGCATATACTTAAAACCGTTTCAAAGTTATATTAACTATACTCGGACTTTAATATGTCTGTCGACCATCCTGTTTAATTAAGTTAATTGTGCAGCGACAATACAATGCAGGTTGGTATATACTATATAATGGGATCTATCTAATTGGTAGGTATTGTTAAGCAATATATGTCACTCTGGAAACAAACACGCCTTTCTCTAACATCGCTACATATTATACCTTACCATACAATATTCAACAATAGTCGACTTTTGCCGACACTGCGGTAATTTATTGTTATATATTATTTTGATTATACCGGAAATGGACAATGAGTAATGATCTGAATTCTAAAAGGAATTATATAATATTATGTTGTTGAGTTATATTAGATATTTTTAGTGCATTTGTATGATCAATATAATATTTATAACATGCAAGGCTTGTAAGTTCCAGGTAGAAATGCCGAATACGCCATAAGTACACTAAAAACCGATTGATCATAATAATATGCAACTATGATTCTAAAAATGTTTAAATATATGCAGTAAAAATCCTTTATTTGTGGAATGCAACACTTAAATGTAAAAACAATATAACTACATGCCTACTATTATTTTATTATTAATTATTATATATTAGCATAGCTGACCCGGAAAACGTACCTATTGTCCATAAAGAATTTTTTGACACACTTAAGCTTAACTAAAACAAAAATTAATGAAAGCACCAACCGAACCAAAATGTATAAATATGGCTTCGACTGCCGTTTCCGAGATTACCGAGTATGTATTCTAACAAACTCACAATCATTTATGTAATATAATAATAATATATAATAGATGGATAGAAATAAATAATATTAAATATAAATAATTTTTGTAATTTATTAAGAAAATGTTATCCCATCCTAATATTATGTTCCTAAATTCAAACTTGTAGTTCATTGTAAATTATAAACATTTTTTTTTGTTTATGCGTTCTGTTTATATTTTTTTTCTTGGTTTTACCACTATTTTCAACAATTTAACCGTCTATATACCGTTGAAATTGAAATAAGTCCAGGGCTTGCATTTGAAAAAAAAAATTCCGTTTTGTGTTACCTACAATTAAAATGTTTCACAATTTTTGAGTTTATCGTTATTTAGAATTAAAACGTCATTCAACGTTTGCTTTTATCGTTACCCAGAATTAAAATATTATCCATGTTTTACGTTTATCGTTATTTAGAAGTAAAACGTTGTACAAGTTATGCGTGTATCGTTACTTAATATTTGGGACTCAATTCAATGTTATATCCGTCTATAGATATGTACCTATTATTGATTACACTGTGATCTTATAAAATGTAGATAGTATTTTTACCTTCGATAAATTTTTTTTGATAGGCATTAAAAAAATGGTACATGCAACAAAATTATTAACAATGTGTTAGCAATAACATGAAAAAAACTTTAGATAAAATTGATATGCTCTTTTATACATACATACCTGCATAATTTGCCGTAATTTGCAATATTATGTCAAAAACGTCGAAATATACAATTATACTTATGCAAAATATAATTTAATACATCAGCTGTTGAATCCTTTGAAACGGATTTCTACCTACCTATCATTTAATACGATTTAATAATATTGGTATGTAATCGAATGAAAATACTGTGATCTTATCATAACTATCGTTTTCAACCAATTGGATTTTCTTAAGTTATATAAATAAACTATTTAATACCTATTATTATATATTTACCTATATATATAATATTATACAAATGAAACCAAGGTCCGTAATATATAATTTAACAATACGAGTTCCTAAAGATATACACAAAATATTTTTAAATATTGAATACATATAGGTAATATCAAGAAATATAGTTTGTAAGGTTTATAATATATTTATAAATGTATATTGTATAGTAAATTCTAAATTCTAAAATATTATAAATACTGGTCAGTGTTAAGTGTAAACATATTGTTTTCATAAATTTGATGTGAAACAGGAACACTTGAACCTCCCATAAGATATACAAGTTGTATAAATATAAAATCTATAGCTATACAGAGTGATACATTTAAGTCACATTCAATACTATTTCTTACATATTATATTTTTTTCAGTAAAGTTGATTTGAAATGATATCAAATTATATAAAAATAATATTTTCAAAAAAATGAATAGTTAATAGTAATTAGAAATTATATAAGTGTATATACTTAAATAGTTAAATGGATCACCTGATATACTGAAATATTAAATAATATTAATTAATATTTATACGATATTATTATGATTTATGAGTATTAGTCATTACTTGTCAATAAACGTCAGATGACTCATAATAAAAAATTAACTGTGTGGGTACTTACTGCTTAACT